CTTTGCCGTCTCCAGACAGCAGTATTATTATTATTATTATTATTATTATTATTATTATTATTTCTTTGTAGTGTCTAGAAAGTATCGTTACGGTGAGTTTGTTTGGGGTTTTCTGCACATTTTAGTGGCAGACCCTCTTTCAGTCATGTTGCGGTGGTTCTGTTTTTGTCCTGGGAGAGGTAAGTGCCCTGGCCAAGGCTGTTGGCCGGAGTCCAGCTCTGGACTTTCTGGGCAACCCTGGGAGCTGTTCCAGGCCACCACGGACGCAGCGTCCACAGACCGCGTTCATTCAGCATGCTTAACCGGGTTATTGGATTCCCTCTTTTTCTGCATTAACTCGTAAAGTAACCAGATGGTTCTAATTCACCCAGTGTGCTAAGGTGTGTATCGATCTATCGTGTTTAGCCTGTTGTGCAAATGAAACTGGGGGGTTATAAGTGTGTTATGCGTATGTATTCATAGCAGCCTTGCTTTCGGTTTGGGGGTAGGATGGATTGGAAGTGCACTGGGCATCAGTGGGATAAGAATAATTTCATTGTCACAAACAGATTGCATCCTGGTGAGATTTGAGTTGACCGTGCCTGTCTTCCTTGCAAGGGCGGGGGACCAGTTAACCTGGTTGATCCTTGGAGATGTAGAGAACTCGAGGATTGCTGAATCCTCTCAGGAACTAGATAGTGATCCTGACAACGTCCTGGTCTCATTGTGGCACTTTTGAGCTGAGAGGAGTTGTTGATGCTTTCACTCTGGAGGGCTGTTTTTTGTGAGCCCAGATTGAAGTAAAATGAATCAGTGGGTGACTAAAGCACAGTAGTATGAATTTTGCAATAAATATAACTGAGCACAGGTCAAAGTGCACTTATTGTGTAGCTGTGATGCCTGCAACGAGAGTTTATCATTATTGCATCTTCAACAAACTGTCTGGCAGAGTTTTCTCAGCTGCTGGGCGCACTATTTGGAGATAATCTTGAGGCAGAATTGATGAACTTAATGGGCTTGGGAAGACCTTTGCATATAAAATCACTTGTATGTGCTTAAAATTAAATACCACAATTTTTGAAGAACTTGTTGAATTTATGGAGGAGGTCAGAGTTTATGAGATCGCTTTTAATTATATTATTATAGTCTCAGGAAATAGACAATACTCGTTCAGATCAGATCAGCTACCTTTTTATTAGATTTTTGTCCTTAGTTGGTCTAATTGGATAGATCCAAGGAATGGCCACTACCTGTTTGTATGAGGGGGCTATGCACATCACCTTGGAACAGGCGGTAGTGTATAATAATTGTTTTGGAGAGAACTTCCCTGGATCTTGAAGTTTGGGGTGATTATCGCTAAGTTGCAAGTTTTTGGGATAAGGTGCTAGATCGGATGGTGGCCATTTGACTGCTAGAAATTTCTTAGAAAAACATTTGACTTGAGAGAAATTAATTATCTAGATCTTTAGGCCTGGATATAGTGCTATAAAAGCCTTGGTTATTCTGAGTGGTGGATTCTCCAGGGGGAAAATGGGGGATTCCTTAGTGATGTTTACCACTGTTGATCATGGGATATTGCTGGAGGAGCTTAATGAGTTAGGAATTGTTGTTACAGTACTGTGTTACAGTAGCTCCAATACATTAGAGGATTGCAATGGAAAATTTGTGCTTGGCCCCATGATCTTGCCTTGTGAAAATCCACTGGTGGTATTGTTTCTGTCTTGATCTTCTGTAGCTATCTGAAGCTGCTGGAAACTACGTAACACCAGCCGTTAAAGTGCCAGACAGGCTTTTGTATGTTGTCAGACCAAATTAAGGTTAGTCTATAAAATCCTTCATGACTTAGCATCCAAATACTTAAAAGATTGCCTTTCTCAATGCCAGCTAAACTGTGCACCAAGATCAGTTAGGGAGCCCTTGCTTGTGGTCCCATTGATAAGTTCAGTCCACAGTGTGATGACTAGGAGTAGGGCCTGTGTTATTTTTTTGTAAAATGCTCTGGGAGGAACTATGTAGAAGAACAGTTAATCATAACAGCGTTGAAGAGAGGTCAAAGGCATGTTCCATTTCTTACACCTTACAGCCTCTGTATGTGTTGGATTACAACTCCCATCATCCTTAGCCAGCATGGTTATGGTGGCTGGGAAATAAGGGGAATCCAACGAGATTGGGCTAGAAGTTGAAGAATCAACACAGAATCCTACGGTTATGTGTTGACTCAGAAGGAAAGACCTTTCAAAATTCCATCCTGAGCCAGTATGTTTTAAGATGCAACCTTTTTCAGGGTTTGACTTAAAATAGGGGTACTCTTTCCTAATTCAGCTCTTCTGCTATCTTGCGTCATTGTAATTTTTAAAGCTTTTTTTCTCCCTTCTTCCGCGCTTCTTTAGAATAAATGTTAAAGATCTACTTTGGAGCCCAACCCTATGTATGTTTACTCAAAAGGAAGGGCTGCTAAATTTGAAGGGGGTTACTGCCGTGTGAGTATCTTGTGTGGGGCTTGAACTGACAAAGTAGAAGCTATTGTTTCAGTTCCACTAGTGTGTTCAGAGAAAGAATAAATTTTCCCACAGGTATATAACTGCATTTCTCAAAGATTTTTGGAATACTGTATGCTGTTAGTTGGTGAGCAGAAGGTACCTTGGACCTCTTCTTATCTAAAGCCAGATGTTAGAGCTGTCATTTAATATGTAAAGGCAGTTTTTTTACTTGAGATCCGTCATTGTCTTATCCACATATTCAGTGGTGAGGTTGAAGAAGATGCTTTTCCTTCTCATTCCCTACCTAAGCAAGGTGAACATTGTAATCTGAGTTAACAAACAGAAAACTAGGAAGTCCCAATTTTTCTTCCAGGTTAATGTCTCAAGGGAGATAACTAAGATTTCCCCCATATCTCCCCCTGTCCCTGTTGGTTATACCTTTCTCTTGCTGCTGGTTGAACCCCAGTTTCCTTCCCCATCTTCAGAAAGACAATTTAAGGGATACAGGAAGAGCTTCCATATCCAGAGGCAACATAGCAGTCTTGATTATTGTTTGCATCCTGCAGCTCGTTATGAGGAGCAGGATGTTGGACCTGATGAACCTTTAATTTGAATGAGCAGGGCTGTTGCTGTTGTGGCCTTGAGCGCCCAGGGTCACTTAACGCAGAGTGGAGGACTTTGGCCCTCCAGATGTTGTTGAACAACAACTCCCAGCATTCTTTGCCATGGGCTGTGCTGGCTGGGTCTTTGGGGTACTGAAGTTCAGCAGTATCTAGAGCTCACGGTTTCTCTGCCCCTGGGCAGCTCCCCTTACCACAGCCTGTTGTGTTCATAGCATTGGTCTTGATATGACGGGGGAAAAAGAAAATGGGGAATTCGCCCTCCGTGCACACCCTTCTCCCAGTCCTTCTAGACCCTTCTCCCAGTCCTTCTATCGTTATAATGCCTGCAGCCTCTAGTTCTGATTTGCATCAATCCATAGGAGAACTCTAGAAAAGATACGGCCTTCCTTTTCTCTCAATTCGCTGTGTGGAAACATGGAAACCAAATGCAACATTCTAATGTGGCTTGCTTTTCCAGTCATTATTTATATTCTCTTCCTATCTGAAGGGTGTGGAAGCTGTATTTAAAAAAAACAAAACACAGAACACCCTGCCCCCAAGAGGCCTTAGTATTCATGTGAGTAATGAGTTCAGAGGTGTTTTCTTTCTCTGTGCAATGATTATTTTGTTTCGTGCAGTGACTGCTTTCTCTATACAATATAATTCCTTGTTTGTGAAATCCTGGCTTTTTAGCTAGAAAGTTATGGCCAGGCAGGGTCCAGTTGTCTATCCCAGAATGATGTAGATTGAAATACCATCCACGCAATTTCTGTTCTTTCTTTTTAAGCAACAAAACCTATTAGAGCCATAGCTAAGCATGCCTTTTTTTTTTTTTTTTTTTAAAGGAGACATAAAGTTTCTGTATCAGGAATTTCTACTCTTTGAGAGGGAAAAATGATTAGAACATCAGTTTAAAAAAAATAATTGTACGGGGATAACCACACTGTGAAGTCTTTGGGTAAGTGAATAATTTTTGGTTAGGGGAGGGAATAGCCGAAAGAAGTTTGTCTTAATGAGAAATGACTAACAATTGTGGCAAGCAGTGGTTAAGCAAATATTAACTGAAAGATATTTTCTTCTACAGCTAGCATTGTGAAAAATGTTTGTACCCTTTGGGTAGATTTGCTGAAACAATCGATGCTCTGTCTTTTCCAGTATGGCTCTGGACTCCAGTGGATGGCTGTCCCTTGAATTCTTTGAATACACTTGAGAACCACAGATTTCCTC